AAAAAAAAAAAAAAAAAAAAAAAAAAAGAAAACAACAATTAGTTACTTTTTGATGAGCGCTCGATTCTGACAGAGACGATTTTTGAAATTTAGCATTATTTGGTGTTTTCGTTTTTGGTCCTCCTCGAACCATTTTTTTTGCTTGATTGACCGGTTTTTTGAAAGGCGCGCCTACTGTTTCTTTTATAACTTTCTGTAAAACATTTTTTATGAGAATTTTACTGTTTCAGTTAAACTATACATGTTTTTGCTTACTTAGTGTAATATAGCCAGTAAAAATTTTTTTCACACTTTAAAATAAAACATACAGTTTGTTCGACCACTGTAGCTATTTGGTCTGTGACTTTGGTATTAACAGGTACAGCATCATTTACAGGTTTTGATTTTTGAAGAAAATTGTTTGACTGTTTAGCATCCAGTTGGACTGATGAAAACACTCTTCGTTGTGCATTCTGACTTTGTACCGTAGATTTGAACTTTTTCGGCGCTTGGGTCGCAGAAGTGCCTTTCTGTTTTGAAACTCCAACTTTTCTTCGTTGCCCTTTATCGGTAGGCAGTGAATCCAGTGGAGAAGCTTTGGCTTTTGGAACATGAGGTCCAGCTTTACGCGTTGGCTGCCTAAATAAATTATTAGTTTCTTGATGAGAGAATAAAGTTAAGACACTCTGTTCTAAGGTCCGAACTTGCACAGCCTAACTTTTATTTTCTTGTTTAGTACAATTTCTTCTGTTACAACGTCATTATTTTCTAAACATCACTAGCTTAATTGGATCATTGGTAGAATACGAAATAGTTATTGTTAATGAGCAAATTAAACTTTATTTTCAAAAGTTTACTGATAATTGGTAACAAAATCTGGAAAATAAAGACAGTTATTTTATTTTTAAGAGACATGAACATTTCCAGTTGCAAATAACGTAATAAGAATGTCATAAATTCTTACAATTGATACAGTGTATTATGTGACTTATTTTGAATGAAACAGGACTTGATGCTTAAAAAGATTTTTTTGCTTTGACTAACAGTTAGAGTTGTCTGCCTGTGAGCTTTTATTTGAATTTGAAAACGTTTTAGCTAACCTTTGGCGTTTTTCCGCAGTCATTGGCACCTTTTTTTTCGGCGGAACTTCGGTGACAAATGCAACATCTTCAGAGGCTTTAGTGTGGTCGACTTTTTGAATTGGCCTCAATTTTCTGTTTCCTGCTCTAGTCGAGTTTTTTTTAATGCTTTTAAAATCTTTTTTCAAGATTTGAAGCACCGGAACATTAAGGTTGTTCAAGTGAGCATCTTTTTGAGGTGCGCCCAGTTCTTTTGCTGATACATCTGCGGTCATTCGGTTATCAAGTTCTATAAAATAATAATTTTTTAAACTTGTAATAGGCAAAGGTTAAAAAGGTGAATAATAAATATTACCTGAATTTGATAAAGATCCAGTGTTTTGGGCAGAAACAATTTTCAGTGGTTTTGTTGTTATTAAATTAATTTTAGTTTCTGTAAAAGTTAAAGGAGTCGGAGGAATTGGACTTGTAACATTTAAATCTTCTGAAATATCTATGATAGCAGCATCAGCTTCTTCAGACAACAACCTCTGCACACTTTCAAGTGCTGCTTCTGCATCTTCCACAGTCATTTCAGTAGTTGTAGATACTGCTTCATCATGCTCAACTTCTGTTGTCTCTGTAACTTCAAATTCGCTCATTTTAGATGGTGCAGCGGTGACAGTTTCTTTATCTTCAACCACCGCTGTCTCAACAGTTTCGGTCATCACTGTTTTAGGAATTTCGGTTATTACTACATAAGCGCTCTCAGTTGCTGTCTCTGTTGTTGTTGGCAATTCAGGTTCCATATTATTTTTTGAGACTACCGGAAAGACAATAAGTTTTTTTTGCTTTTCCTTCTGTACTTCATTGACATTTGTAAAAGGTGATTCTGGTATTCGTAACAATCCTTCGTCTGAACTTCTCTCTTGTTCAGAATCATCAGTTCTTTCGAAGTGTCCACTTTCGGTCGTTGTAACTATTTCCTCTGATTTACCTGATGTTTAAACTATCTTATTATCTTTTTACAATTACAAATAATTTAGTGAATTTGACCAATAATTTTTTATATTAATAATTAATTACTTTCTCAACTGTATAGTCGTTATTTGCTGCTAAGAATACTGTTATAAATTACTTTACCTCTAGAGTAACTGCTGTAAGGTTTTACGTATGTAGGAATTCTTGTTGCAAAGGTTTTTAAGGGTGGTTTAGTTTGCTTCGATGTTTGCTGAACATAGTCGGGATATAGCTGCATAATTGCCTCTTTTCTATCTTCTTCCCAAGGGTCTACTACATCATAATCAGTTCCTTTAACATGCGCATTCGGTTCGTCTGTTGAATTACATTCTGTCTGTTCCTGAAATTCGTAATGAATTGCTAAATTTTTTACGAAATTAGTTTGATGTCTTCATAGAGAACAATTTCTTCTTAAAAATTTTAATATATTGTAGTGAAAGTTTGATAAATGCGGTGCCAGATCAAAGTTTCATACAGCTAACCATATTTTTGCCAGGGCATGAGAATCCTCTGACGGTGTTACAGGCCCGAACCCGAACTCTGACGTTGTTGATACAGACTGACCATGCCGACCAAGCAGCCCATATCGACGAATATACTGCAATTGAAAATTTTTTGGTTACTGTTGCTTGATCGACCAGAAAAGTTGTGGTTTTAAAATTAAGCCATAGACTAGTTTTTTGAAAATTGCAAAAAAAGAATTTTGCAAAAAAATTATTTTGATTTTGAAATTTCATAATTGTATTTGTTCAAAAATATTGACTGAAAAAATTAAATGTACTAATTTTGGTAAAATTGCAAAGCTTTTTTTTTGATAAAAAAAAACCACTTCTAAGTTTTTCAGCTGCTTCTTTTTAGCGCGCAGTCATCAGTTTCAACAACAAAACTGCAAATTTTTTTTTATTTCTGAATATTTTTTTTATTTCCATAAAGATATCAAACATAAAAGCGGACTTTTTTTCAAAGAAAAATGAAGTTTACCAAATTAAATTAGAGAAGAAAAAGTTTTAGATTTAATATTATTCATATTCAAAATGTTACTTAAATAAAAGAAATGTATATCAAAAAAAAAGGCGCATTGTTTCTTTAAGTGTTTTTTTGTTTGTTTGTTTGTTTGTTCAGCGTATTGCTATCTTTTTGAAATTTAGGCTACTAAATCTTAGTGATACAAAGAA